TCTGAAGATGTCTTCATTGGATCTTAAAATAATCCGACATATAATCACATCTTTCAGGGCCCTAAATAGACCCTAAAGCATTACATTTATAATGGTTTGCCACACACATATTTGAACATGTAATTCATTCTGTCACCAGTAAGTTGCATCCAACTCCTCCAGAGCAGAGAAAGTGGAAGTCCTTCCTCCAGTGATAAAAGAACGAGGGGGCGAGTCTGACGGATGGTGGATGACACCCGTGGTAAGGTTCACAGTGAACTGTAAATCTGTCTTTCTGTCTTGATGATTGGTGGCACTGTGGCTGTTAGTGGCTGTTTCAGCACAAGCTGTAAGTGTTGCAGATACCACTTACCATCTTCCAGACACAAGTTAACAGTCATCAGTTTTCTCAGAGAGTAACCATGGGAGCTTGTTTGTGTGCATCATGGTTTTACATGCAATATAATATAGATACAAAAACCTCTGCATGCTTAATAAGTATAAATACAATTTAAAATCCTTTGATGTGTGGGAGAAACGTATAGGTACTATACATCCCCTAATGACCCCAAAACTGACCATAATTTTACTGCTTAGCTCTGAAGAGCAAAGCGCAAAAAATAGGCAAACAGAGCAGTTCAGTTAAGATTATAAACTACTAACTCTCCTCAGTACAGTTAAAATTTTGAAAAAAGTCTTAGATATTAAAGGCATCTCACGATAGCATGACTCAAATAAGTCAGGACTTCTTTCTGGAAAGACTAGGAATAAATCTTAGCTGTTGAACCCTGAGAAAAACATCAGCTTTTATTTAAAATGGAAAACCATAAAAATATTCCTGCTGAGATTTAAATATTACATGAATGTATTCATGCCCCTCAGTGTCGCAGTGGGTAGCACTGCTGCCTTGCAGCAAAAAGGTTCTAGGTTCAATTCCCAGGCAGGGGTCTTTTTGCACAAAATGTTGGCATGTTCTTCCTGAGCATACATGGGTTCTCTCAGGGTACTCCAGCTTCCTTCCACAGTCCAAAAACATGACTGTTAGGTTAATTGTTTTCTCCCGTAGACAGCTGGAGATAGGCACCAGCACCCCTCGCGACCTTGGGATAAGCCTGACAGAAAGTGATGACGACGTATTTGCAGTTAAGTCAAATTGGAAAATTAAAGTTCTAATAATGTTTAAGAAACATATACATTTTTGACCATCTGCTCTTTATAGTTACAGTAAAATTTGCCCCTTAAAATTTGCTGACAGAACTTAATCGGTCCTGCACTCAGCTGCCGATCAGACATGCTGCTTTGAGCTCATAGAAGTGACTGGTAGAAATCCTTTAGCCACAAATTCCCTGTTACAAACACATAGAAATGTTGCAGTTTCTTATAATGAAAATCACTAGTGGGAACAGTGAATTGCATAAGATAGAATATTATTGTATCTAGCAATGAACTAAAAGTATTTCTTGTTTTTCTATATGGTTACCCTGTTTGCTGTATACCCTATATTTCAGTAAAGAAATGTAAAGGGTTTGCCTTGTCAAGTGCTTTAAGTCAACATTTGCTGAGAACTGGTGCTTTGTAAATAAAGAAAATTGATTTTTAAAAGGAATTATAAAAGTGATCTTTCAGCCAATAGAGTGACAGTGCACAGTAACAGATGGATGGTGGAGATGAACTCCTCTCTGTTTTATACAACTGGAGAAACTCGAGCACTTTCTGCTTCAATAAAATGCTTTATAGCTGTTAAAAATACTATGCCCGAAACCATAGCTGTTTAGAGCCTTGTATTATTTAAAATCTATAACTGGCTCAACAAAGACTAAAATACCAGTAAAAGTTTGTCATTTACAACTAAGAAAAATAAAATTCTAACCTTTCCAACTGAATATTGAGTTTATAACTAAATTAGTGAATGAAAGTTTATTTCAAACAAATCTTTTTTAACAAAACATAACAATTTTTGTTATAAGATGGAGTAAAAATTGATGGAATCATTGTCTGGATTTAGAAAATTACATACCATACTTGTTTCCCTGTGTTTGACATAATTACACTCTGCAGCCACATCTTATTGCATGACGTAACCACTGCCGACGTGACCTCTCTCATTTACTAAACCTACAGAACCATAGACAAATTGGCCGATGCACTTGACTGGCTGCAGTGAACCCCACAAACCCCAGCCTTGGTTGGCACTCTCTCTGGCCTCCACTCAATCCAACAACATTTTACTGCTGGCCACCCTCGGCTGCTCCCGACCTAGCCTCTAGAAGCTCTTTCATTGAAGGTGTCATGGCCTCATCTCCTCTCATCTCTCACACAGCTTTTCTGTATAAGACATCCTTTAAATCCCTCTTCCACACTCTTTATGGTATTTATCACATTTTCTGCCTGGTAAAGGCCTTTCAGTGACTCACAGAAACCCATCAGTTGGTAACGTGGCGTGGCCAGAGCCCACACAGGAATTTGTTTTAGATTATTGCTGAAGTGTCCTAAACTCTGGAAGACGGTCAAATGCAGTAGACCCAATGCTGTTGTTAGAGCAGAGAAACGCAGCTCAATAAAACTGGGCAGAGCAACATCAGGGCCACTTTTAAAAAGTTTATTATGTTTATGTAAAGAGATGTAGAAGTCTGTCCCATTACGACAGAAAAGGCAATAAAAGAAACTACTAATTTAATGAGTACAGTTTAAGTAAAATTAGGCAACAGTTTGATAAATCGTTAAACTAAACTTTGTACCTATTAATTTTGAGCACAAGAAAATATAGTTAAGCTTTTCATGAGTAAAATTATTAAAGCTTCTTTCAGGATTTTATGCCTAAATGGACGACCTTTCTACACTTCTATATTTCATTACTAAAAATGGAGCACAATATACAAAAAAATAAAGAAATATGTTTTCCAATATACTGTAAGAAAGGTTACAAGGCTGTCCTGCAGAGTCCCATCCACTTTCCACGGTCTCTCTAAGGAACAGGTTACATACAGAGCTCACATTTCATTTTAATGTACACTGCAGAGACTGATAAAGATAATCCTTATTATTCTATCTTTACAGCTAACATAAGATTACCTGAAAAGAATTTTTCCTGGAAGGCTTTAATATTACATATTAGCAGAGCAATGATTCTCACTTCACCAGTCAAAAGGACACAAATATTTCGGAGTTCAAACAGATAAATTAATCAACAAAATTGATTGATTTAATAATTTAGGAATAATGTGATGAGTGTCTTCATATGCAAACCAGAAAAAGGTTAATCTGACATATAACTCTTGAAAATCTAAATAAAATATCGTTTTGCTTAAAATAACTAAGGTCTAAATAATCCAGATATATTTTTATCTAGAGAAAGTTATTATCATAGCAATTTGTTCAGGAGTTAAAGAACATTTGAGCTAAAATATAAGCAGTGCTGCATGATTAGATGAGGCATAATTGGAATGTACTTCCCAAAATAAAATCAATACTTTTATATTTTAATAACTATATACAGAGCTGTTAACTGTTCCCATAACATAGAAGTTATGAAAAATATTTTTAGTGTTATAATTTGGAACCTAGAGAGCGGCCAGTAGGTGGCACTTTTTAAATGACAATGAGTCCTGTGAAATGGCAACATGCATATAAATATGATTAAATAGCTTCAATAGCTGAGTATTGAATTTTTTCGGTATGCAATGAAAAAGGCTGAAGTACAGCTGGAAAAATGATGTGACAATTTAAAAAACTTCAGTGATAAACTTGACAAAAAGTACAATATATATATATATATATATGTATATATATATATATATATATATATATATATATATATATATATATATATATATATATATATATATATATATATATATATATATATATATATATATATATATTTTTTTTTTTTTTTTTTTTTTTTGTCCAGTTGAGGTCTTTCTAAGTATTCCTGCCATTTTTCTAGGTTTTTTAATAGTAAAAGGATGCAGTTAGATTTTTATTAAAATGTGCCTTTTACAGAACTAAAATGCCTGAAACCGTATTGGAAATGTAAAGGTTGGCAAAATGTGCCAGCAGATGGTGGCAGCTATTAATTATTTATTCAAAAACATGAATGAATGAGGAAGACAATCCGCTCCTGTTGGTTCCACTAATGCCCTATGTGATAATGATAAGAATTTTCTCTTTTATATGATGTTCTGAATATCTCAACAAAGTAGAGAAAAGAAAGCTGCAGTTAAGGCCCTAAACGTTTTATTCTTTTAAATATTAAAGCCATTCTCATGTTTAAAGATCTTTAAGAGCCGCTTTTTTATCAAATAAAAAGTAAAAATAGAACATTATTGAGGCAGAGATTTTTATAATAACTGATATAATTAAGTCCAAAAGACATTTATCAATGGTACACAACAGCATTTGCAGTATAGCAATATCTAAAGTTTAAGATCTTAACTTGGTTGTTTTTGCCAAAGCATCTCACATCAGTGCTGTCAGTTGGAATAAATAAAGATCTAAATAAAGAACAGATGGAAATCATAGTAGCTTTTTTTCACTAAGCTTCTAAACTTCATAATGTTGTCTTAAAGCGTTACAGTAAGTTGTTTTACATGTATTGTTGGTTCTAAATGAAAAACAAATCAGCTGTCAAATGTATAAGTCACACTAAAACCTGTCATGTTGTATATAAACTTGTAAGAAATCAACCTGCAGAAAATGAAGGGTTTTTTTATATTTTCTTTAAATTCTGTTAACCATTGAATTTCTATTACAGATGTAATCCCTCAGGCCTATTTACTGTGTTACTTGAAAAAACAAAATAATAAATGGCAAAAAAAAAAGAAGCCAAGTCTTGCCTAAAGCCTGGAGAATGTTTAAAAATAGAGAAACAAATTGTTATTCTTAGATTTTATTGGAGACTGAAGAAAAATATGCTTTGCTTTGTTAAAGAAAGGTTAACTTTGATGCACTTAAATTATCTGCATTGTTAGCAAGACAACACCATAATTCAATCCATTTATCAAAATAAAAAAATGGCTCACCGAGTTTAGGTCCAAACTAGTTTTCACCCACTCCTTGGCATCATTATATTCGTCCATCAGTCCCATAATGTATAAGGTGTCCAGTGAGTCAACAATAGAGGCGCCTCTAAGTCCACCTGCAAAATGCAACAAGAAAGCGAATTTAGACAGAGAGCTGAGATTAGAGTAGCTGGATTGACTGTGAAATAAATATCATTGAAAAAAAAAAGATTGACACAGTCTTTTTTTTGTTGTAAAAATGTAATGTAGCTAATACAAATGGAATTTAAAATAAATTCACATGTCAGGCTTTTAGTTATGGCATAGAGTCTTCATCTAAGAGTCTTAAGCTTTTTTTTGTAATCTAACACCATCAAGTATTCAAGTTAAATCTATCTATCTATCTATCTATCTATCTATCTATCTATCTATCTATCTATCTATCTATCTATCTATCTATCTATCTATCTATCTATCTATCTATCTATCCATCCATCCATCCATCCATCCATCCATTCATCCATCCATCCAACTCCCTTCCTTTCTCCATAATTATATTTAAGCAAATTAACTATCTAATATATTATATATCATTTAATATTCTAAAATTATCTGCCATTGCAAATACGATAACACTCTCCTCTGTTTTAAATTCAGTTCATTGGTTGTGCACATACAAATTTTACTCTAACGTTACTTGTGGATTGTGATTTTATTTTGTTCTTTTTTTCATTAAATATTATTACTTTTGTTTGTTTTTAACTTATTTATTTTCTTGAACTCTTACATGCTTGTATTACATTGTATAACATGTAGTATAACATTGTTTTGATTTTGAAAAAACATGATTTATAAAAGGATTGACCTTAAACCAGATTTTCAGTCCACTTTGTATTCATAAATGAAATACACATTTACTTTGACTTAGAGAAAGTAAAAAACAAATTAAGGTGAACAGTAACAGAAATTTAACTCTGAACTCTTAATATTTTGATTAGCTGCATAACTTGACAGCCCAACAGAAAAGATGAAACAAAAAAAAACCTCAAAGTCTCTGACGCTCCGAGTTTCCCTAATTACAGCGATGATGCTAAAAGATAATAAGAAAATTGCCTGGTGGAGCCCAGATGAGAACCATCCTCTTTTAGAGATTATAAAGCACCCGCTGGAACACATCAGTCGCATCCACATGAAAGTCAAGTTATTTAGGAATCAACCAGCAGAGCAGAAGAAAGAAGTGACACACTGATTGTTGGGAGCATTTAGCAGCTGGTTCTAGATTACAGCGAACTGATGTACTGTATTTTCTTTTTTATCTGTATGTTGACAGCAACTGTTCATAGTGGGTTTGTTCCTATGAATCTCATTTAAAACTGACATTTACTTTCCCAAACTAAGTGAAATATACTAGGAGGTATTATTTAATCCTGATTACCTTGCTTGACCTAGTTTTCTTCAAACATCCCAAGATATTATGCAAATAGAGATACAGCATGCCACACAGAAACCACGTGGAAGGAAAAATACATAGGAAAACAAAGGAAAAATACAAATGTTTCTTAAAAAATTACTTTAAAAAATATATTTTTTCTTTTAAAGTTTAATAAACAATAACTGGATAAACAGAATGAATCAGTTAAGGCCCACACTATAGATTTGGAAATGCGAGAGAGTGAAAACTGACCTGGTTAAATGAGCAAGGTGATGAATACCTCAATGCCCATCCCTAAAACAGGCAAGCCTACATTAGAAGGCTGGATTTAACTGATGCAACCACTCTGCAACCTGGCACATCAAAGGCTGTGGCTTTTATCAGGAAGGAAATCAATATGCGAATGGTAGCCACACCTTTGTGCATCTAAACTCAAATCTGAAAAAATCACGAAAATCGTACAACTCCTCCTCAATTGTTTTAACATCTGAGAACAGAAAATGTATCTCTACATATATGCTGAATTTTTTCTTCTTTCTTTACTTTTAAAGTACAGGTAAAATGTCAACAAACTTAAAATTTGAAAGTTCTTCACTTATATTTGTAAATATAGGACATACATGATCTGTTCCATATCTTGTCTTCTAACAAGCAACACTGGGAAACAGGACAGAGGTCAGCCAATATGATGACCAGCTGATAAATCTGGCCAATATTTCTTATTTATAAAGGCCAAAAAACCTGATCTTAAGAAAAGAAAGCTAAATAAATCCTCAAAATATTTTTCAATTTCTCTTTTTTCAAATTAAATAAATAAATGCCCCTTTTTCTAGCAATATAATGTATAGTTTTTCCTCACCAACCAAAAACCGTCTCACACATTACATACACTGAGAGGACAGCAAGTCATGTTGTGAGCTTAAAATGTGCATTGAAAAAATATGCATTGTTTCACAGTGATTTCTATTTCTATATTAGAACAAACACATATGTTGATATCCATAAATCCAATAAGTCACACCTGCAATAACTTGTTTCCTCCTCTTCATCTGAGGGAAATGATGGATTTAAAAATCATCTACGGTGTGTATCTGAATACTTCTAGAATTACAGCATAACTTTCACCAGTGGTTTATTGTTTTTCCAGAGTGGTAGATTGCAGGCATACTGGACTCACTAGAGAGCACCTTTACCCATCGGCTCAGGTGTTGGCTTGTAAAACCCTGATGTTACTACTACTCTGATATCCCGTTCCTTCTTTCTCATCAGTTAAATAAACATATAAATCTTGTCTGTCATATAGGGAAAATAATTAAAAGTATTTTAAGCTAGAAACTGAACAGAAACAGTTTAAAATAATTAATATGATAGCAATACCCTTAATTCAAGGTTTTAACATTCGTATTCACTTGATTTAATTTCTTGAAAAGTCTTCTGTTTGCAAAATAATACTTACTTGCAGCCCTACTTAAATGAACTGAGGTTTGAGATTCTTTTTTTTTAATCCACAGCTCTGGTCCAGATCTGCCAGTGCAGAGTTTAAACAGGCTCATCTTTACAGTGTTGCATGATCTCACTAAGCAATGAGACCAGCTGTCATCTTGCTTTACATATCACTGAATATAGAACGATGTCACAGTACACCAATGCTTTGTTGGCTTGCGTTTGACTATCAAAACTCCTAGAAACACAAATACAATGTGCAATGCTACAACTACATTTTAAAACATACAAAAATAAAGCCTTACAAAGAGATTGCTCTAATGATCATAAAACTCATCCTCCTCTGTCAGAGCATCCATGTGTTTCCCTGATGAAAGGGCTTCTCATAAGAGAGCAGCACTAGTCGACAGAAGACCATCTGTTGAGGTTATGAAGCATAACTTCATGTAGTGAGCTGGATGTTAGCATTTTAAATGAGAAATACCATTGTGCCAAAACTGCATTTGCAAAGTAAGAATACAAAAATATGTTTGATGCATCTGATTACATTTTTTTTTACCAACCAGTCTATTTTTAAACTTAATACAGAGATTGTGAAATGAAAACAAGTGGGATTAGGTATCTAAAGACCACTGGTTGTCCTAACCCAGAGGTAGAATCTGTAGCTTGAGGCAAACTTAAAGAGTGCGGAAAATTCCTTTTGAAAACAGCACCAGAGCTTGGAAGATTGATTGACTCAGAGGATACGGGGAGCAGATCAATCCATCATCTTTCACTCCTTCACTCTACTTGTACCTGGACTCTGTTTATTTCAATGGACCTGAGCTAAAAAGGGAAACTCAGCGAAAAATCCCCTTGAGGACATGCAATTTGAGAGTCTTAATAAGTATTTATTAAGGTGGATCAAAAAAACATAAACAGCAGGATTTGAATGCTGTGCTCTATCTTAATATCGTCTTTAGGAAGCTTAAAGATGCTGTTGCAATTTCAACCAGTTGAGGCCTGTTTAGGGACAACTGAGAAAGATAGAGAGCACTGCAGCAATCAATTCTTGAGCTGATTAAGGCATGCAAAGCATTCTCAATATCAGCATGGTTTTCAAACATTCAACTTTAGCAGAAGTCAACGGTTGCAGAAGTGTTATTTGACTACAAAATACATTTCTTTTTTTTTTTGTATGATCCCCTGATTTTTTTATTGGTAGCATTTCCATGGGTTAAAATTTTTGTTTAGTTTATTTTTGTTTAACTTTGGCTTTGTACTGACTGGTAGAGTCAGAACAAAACAGACCATGATGAGGTAAACAAAAATGATTGTAAAAAATTCCACTATGCTAAAAACGTAGTTACACAGCATGTCCTGCTTTGGGCCTCAAACCAGTTACAAATCAGAACAGATCAATAGGACCTAACAGTAGTTTCCTACAAAGAAAAAAAATGATTCAATGACCTACAGCAGCAGATCTCTTTCTGAGCTGTTACTGTATATCAACAGGAGCAGGTTGGTAGAAAAGTGCAGAGGGAGACTGAATGCTAAGTTTAATGGAAGGTGTTAGTGGGAAAATATTCACTCTCTAAAGAATAAAAGAAAGCCCTGATTAAAGTTTGCAAAAAGAGAACACTCGCAAAGACCAGGCCTTGTGTCGCTCAGAGAAGATGTTATTAGGACACTAAAGAATGAGATTACATCCGAGAACAACAGTAAAGCCTGGAGGTGGAAGTGTCATGGCTGCTTAATTGCAGTTGGAGCTCAACATAATAAAATAATAAAAGAACCCACTCTGATAATTTAATGCAATTCAGTTGTGCTGAATGCAGGAAGGCCTCAACTTCATAACAAAAAATAACTGATGTGTTCAGAAGGCAGGGATGTGATAATAGAGAAGTGGAAAATGTTGGGCATGACATCATACAATGAAGCATGGTTGAATGAGTCAATGCACGTCCTGGAGCAAAATTTTACCAACCTTCCATAGAGACCATAAGCACCTGTTTAGAGTGTGGTTAACAGTACATTGTGGCTTCTAACACTTGTTGGATTATACTGAAAACAGAAAGCCCCTACAGACAACTCTTCGGTGGTGGCTTGAAATATTCAGCTTTGTTTATTTATAAAAATGCCACCATAATACGTTTTGTTCATAGTTATCTCAGTTTTGGTTTTATAAGATATAGATTACTGCATTAATTTGTGCATGCCAACAAATACTATTATTTCTGATAAGCCAAATACAGACACAAACTCTCTCTCCATCAGCTGCTA